AAAGTTGGCTTGAACTGAGCTTCTACTCTAACCCTATTGGTTAAAACACAATAGGCCAGAAGAAACAATAAAAATCAGCATTTCTTATTGGTTAGAATTGACCTTACTGTAGAGTGCCATATGGCACGCTTGGGAATTTGAGGGGTGGTACACGCGTGTGCCATATGGCACGGTTGGACGGGAAAGGGTTAAGGGGATTATTAGTTGATCTAATACCAAATTCTCCAAAGTTGCATCATAAGAATTGTATAGCAGACAGTAAGGAGAATTTCTAAGAAGATCGTGGGAGTGAATGGGTTAAGACAAACAACAAATCAGGCATGAGCCTGCAGTATGGCAAACACAATAGTTTTCATATTAGGTTCAATGAATGTCAATCTGTGCTTTTACCCTTGACCTCTAGGAATGCACCAATTCTAATTTCTCCTTAACTATTACCTCTCTGATTCTGAATTTTCCCCTCTAGCTACAACACATTTCCTTGTAAGTTAATTACGAGAATTGTGTTAAACCAAGATAACAATCAATACCTTATACAAGTTTGAGTATTCTCGTTACCCGTTTGCTAAATTATATATCGATATTATAGCGAGAAGTTACATGTTAATCACTTCTGAGAGTTACAGGATCAAAGTATCACTCCTGAATCAAACAGTTAAGTCCTCAGAATAAAGAAAATGATCACCAACAAGACAAGCTCTTGATTGTTAAACAAATTCTCCTTGTCAGCACCTTAGAAAATGCATGGACAACATATAGAGAATATGCATATGAGAAAGATCTTTGCAGTGAGGAGCACTATTTAAGCAATAGTGAAATTAAGACCTGAAATAAATTTTTTTTCCCAGTCTTAATTTCACTATTGCTTAAAAAGTACTCCTCACTGCAAAAATCGCTCTCATATGCGTTTCTTTAACCGCAGTTCAAATATATGATTTTCATATAATTATCCTTAGAGAATATGCATATTTATCTTCTGGTGGAAAGGGTTAATTCTGCTAGTCAGTGCTTATAAGAACAAAGGAAGCATAGATGACAAGGGATTAAGATTGAATTCAATGTTCATTTTCAGTAATTAGATGGATACGTTTGTGCAAGTGACTCCAGCAACATATGTTGCTCTCTCTAAAATTAAATTTACAGAGAAATGTAAGAGACTGATACCGAAGATGGGGCTGTGCGGAAATCTTGCCACACAGGTACCCTCATCTCGCCTTTTAAATATCACCACGTTCGAATTCCTTACCCCATAAAGTTGCACTCTATCCTGTGCACACGGCACTCTTCCCTTATTCCAGTTGGCTGGATTATCAAAATTTGTGTTGGGCAGCCACTGTTTGGTATATGCTAAGCAATGATTCCCTGAAAAGTTCATAATTTTTTTTTAATATAATCAACGTTTTTATTCCCAAAGTGAAGCTGGTTTTTATGCTCTGATACGATGACACTGTTCCCGCTTATGGGCTAATAAGTGTGCAAAAACTGCCGTAGCAGTTATCTAATGTATAATTCATAAGAACGCTTTCATTCAATATAAATTTCAATGCTGAATCACATTATACCATGTCATAATCTTACCCAACAAAAGGCACGTGAATAACCAGGAAAAGACGAGCTTGTCAGGCCTGGCGACCATATTGTTGCAGAGTAGGCAAAAAGCGCCCTTGGTCCGAGTGGCATAGTATGCATAACACAACAAGAGAAACTAACTGACGTTGTCACGTTCAGTCACGCTATTCTGTCAGGACAGTTATTTTTTGCTTGCTTTCTGATTATTTGTTCATTCTGTACTGTTCCTAGGGTTTAAGGCCATTCTCATGAAAATGTGTTGTTTCCTATCGCCCTCCCTTTCGTGTTCTGTTGGGCTAAATAAAAGAGAAAATAAGGAAAAGAAGAATATCGATCCAGGAAGCCTGAGATCGAGTCAGTAGGAAGAGGACTGCCAATGAGAAGGCCTGGTTACATTTGTGGTTTTGTTTGCTGTTTAATCTGATTGCTAAAAAAAAGCTTTTTCCACGCATGTCATCCAAGTGGGCTGCCCTTTTTTTCCTGAAATTTCCAATACAGTTCTCTCCTAGATAGCCAGCTTTTCTTGAACACGAAAGTGCACCTGGCTAGAGGTACGTTCGCAAAGTATGCTGGTAAAAATGTTGATAAACAAATGTTCAGAACAGCTTGTACAAAACTGTTTCACATTTCTTTTTGGATAACGTCTTGTTAACAGGATACCCGTACTTGAGTAAGCTTTGTGCTCAAAGTCTCCAATTTTCCTTTTTCCCTTCTTAATTTGTTTCCACGAGACGGCGGTTGTTTCTTCGGTTTTCCTCAGAAATTTTGCGCAGGAAATTTGGCGCACACGCTGTTCAAATTGTCCCACACGCATGCCCGACATTTAATCTCTGTGTTTCCGAGAGACTGGTGTAAAAATGTATTTGACAATCGGTGGAACCAAACTGTAAGTGGCAGTGACAAAGAATGTAATATGAATATTCCTATTGATATGTTAGCACGTGGGCCGCTATGGCGTTAATAGAGTCTTTTGTTGAATAGTGTATTTAAAGTTTTGACATTTGTACTGTATTCATCTCAGCTTTCGAACTTTTCTAGTTTTATGTTAAATTTTATCTTGCATGTATGTAATTAAGCTGTTTTACCTCTAACCCCCAGAGGTCGGTGCGCCTGCATTTGGATGGGGAATGCGTTCCCATTTTTCCCATTGGGTTTTTGGGTTTTCGTATCAGGCGGCGGCACACAAAACACTTTAGCCCGAGAGGTGATGACTAGGTTGTTTACTACTCTCTGCAACTTTGTCGGACGGCATTAAATACTCGGGCTCCTAGATCGAACTGCACACCCACTCTTGGGTATGAATCGTGAATTTGAATATAGGAAAGAGCCCATTGTGCGACATCACTTTGTCTTAAAATCCCTCGCCATTCGTCAAGTGTTGAAATAAAATTAGTCAGAAAAAATGGTTCTGTCCTGGTGTACCTGTTCACAAGGGAATCACCATTGTTCTTTCTTTGTTTAGGAGTTATTGGTTAGCTATTGTGTATTGTTTGGTCTTTTGTATTGGCTCTTGTGAAACGGTACACGAGGACAGAACCGAAACAATTCAAGAAACAGAAAGGCATGAAGACTTTTCTTTTGAATCAACTACTAAATGGTCTCACTTTTTAACACCAGAGTAAAAACCCTGTAAAAAGAAATGCCATTTTACAGAAATCAAGTGTGTGAGCTTGAGGAATACTTCATATTGCACTCCGTGATATGAACGCTGCAAATTCAAATTGAAGGTCTAAGAATACCATTATTGTTTATGTAAAACTGACTTCTTTGTTGACAGTAAGTGAGTTACAATAACCAATAGTAGACCGTTAAAATTTCAATAGACTTCCTGAACAGTTGACAACTCAATAAAAGTATTATGAAAGTCACTTAGCTGTCTGCACAAATTAAAGTGCACAGCCTTCCTAAGTCCTTCTTTACAATACTCAGTCAAAGACTTATTTTGGATCCACACTTTCCACTGAGTACACTCCAAAATGTCGACTGTGATTCCCTCAGGAAAAAGCAGCAAAGATTTGCAAACACAGCGCACTTTTGTGGAGCAACTACGTCGTGAGGCAAAAGTCCAGCGGGTAAAACTTTCGCTGAGTGCAAATGAACTTGTGCAGTATTGCGAACAACAAGGGAACGTAGATCCTTTAGTGAGCCCGAAAGCAGCACACGACAATCCTTTTCGTAATTCTGGAGGTAAATGTGTTTTGTTTTAAAGTGGGAGCAATCTTCGAGCTCTGGAAAATTTTCTGTCGATGTTGTTTTAATTTCCTCACAAGCTGTTGAAAGCGTTCCGATGCCCTTTTTGTATGTTTATTCATGACTGGATACTTTGAATGTGGAGTCAGATCAGCTGTACTATTTCTCGATGTTAACCGTTTTGACGCAAAACAAGCAAGCTGTTACTGAAAGAGAGAGAGAGGTTGGTTGTTTGGATGAACGAATTCAGATGGAAACCAAATCAATTCTCTTAGATAACGAGGTAACAACTGTGCCGGATTGTGCTGCAAACGGGAGCTCGCCCTTTGTAACTTTAATTGACCTCAGAATTTTTTTTTCAAGTCAGCGAGTCACCAAGATGAATTACATGCATATCAAAAAACTCGATAACTGACACAACTTTCAGCTCCAAGTCGTCAGTGGAAGAACGCATAGAGTTTAGGCAAGTCAACGGACTGAGATGGCATTACTTCGTAGCTGATCTGTGCTTGGTTGCAAAACTATGCGCTTTGTGCCTGACTGTTTGTATGTAATTTGAATGGCGTAAACACGCAAAAACATGAGTTTTCCTTTGTATTTTAGTATTGGGAGTAAATCAGAAACATTATGCAAATCTTGCTTTCACGATAATTTTCGAAGAAAGCTACTTCTTTTACAAGAGCTTTTACGAGCAGCAACAATGAAGAGTACATTTTCGTGAGTTGTTTAGATTGCATTCGGTCACTTTTACATATTAAGCAGAATCAAACATTCGTTTTGATTGGTTCCCAAGATCCCCTCAATTCCTTGTTAATTAGTTACGAGAATTTTGTGTTAGATCAAGTCATCAACTTGTACCTGATGAAGTTTGACTATTTTCATTACCTGTTTTCTGTGTAAGCTCTAGATACTACACTTCTGGAAGTTGAAGAGTTAACATTTTTACTTTTTTATCATATAAAACAAATAGATTGCGTGTTGTCGTGGGTCTGTAAAGTAATACATTACGTGTACAGAAGACTTCAAAACATTAGCCATTCTTTTATCCTTACCACAATGACGTCATCTATTTATTTAGAGGTCATAATTCTAAACAGACTCACGGTAACATGAAATCTTTTTTTTTTTTTTTTAACGATCTTATTATAACCATATAGCTACCGCCTGGAATAATTTTAAATTTTTTTTGATGTAATTGACGAATTTGGTTACAATTCCACATCATATGATATGCTTTTCAAGTTATACATTTTTTCAGCATCAAACAACTTGAGTGACAACAATGATCGTTAACTAAAGGATATTTTCATCAATTAAAGGCATCAGACATCTTTCGATATGACATATGCGTTGACGTTTTTAATTATGTTCAGGAAGTGTTAACAGCCAATCAGATCCCCTTCACGTGGCTCGTGCCATATCTGATATCTCAGCTACCGTTCTGGTTACAGACCAGAATATCAAATTGGAGAGTTTATTCAGGTTTGTAGATTATATTTAGAGTTACTGAAAACGATAAAATAATAACTTTTGGGAAAAAAAAGGTTTGGGTAGGCTAGAGGTAAAGAAAATTATTCCGTCTTTATTTGCCAATTTGAAGACCAAAATCCATTGTCTCGTAAATCATGGAAAGCCGCTGATGTTTGCTAATTGTCGGTGCTTGTGTTAGTGCTAATTTCTGTTCTTTTCATGCCCATTATTAACATTTTAAATTTTCATATCAAACTCACGGGGTACAAATAGTCTCTTACTGAATTTCGTGACCACGCCCACTTCATCGGCCCACTCAAATCGAGTGCGATTTTTGGATGTTATATCATCTTGCCGACTCTCTGTATAAAAAGTTAACAATGTACCACCGAAATATTGAACTATAATATCATGGCTTTCCATTTTGTGTATTTTCGTACTACAAAGTAAAGTTTTTCCCTCGTCATTTTCACCTTTTCCCGAGCGGGTCCGTCAAAATTAAGAAGGCGTTCGTGGTCAAAACAAGACCGAGCAAGGAGTCTTGGGCGATTTCTCTCTTACGCAAGCGCAAATTGAAAATGTACCGCCAAAATCAAAGAGAGGAACAAATTTCCTTTGTTTTGATATGTAAATTGTCGAACAAGGAGCAGATTGAACCTCGTCAAATGGCTAGTCAAAACAGCCACACCTTCCTCCTTTTGCTCGTTTCCTGTTTTATAAGCGTGAAAGCAGTGGGAGAAGAATCGGGTAGCTCGGAAAGCGCTTCACCATCGTTTACTTACGAGATAAACAAGTAAGATTTGTAAAGTTATTTTCCGAAAGAGTCGGAATAAATACATTTTTTTCAGGTTAGATTGCTGTTTTTACCCTAAACGTCGTCCAATAAATTTTTGTTGCAGCCTACTAATCTATACAATTTCGAAGGAAAATATTCAGATGCTTCACCGTCCCCGAAGGGGGTTCTGTCCTGGTGTACCGGTTCACAAGGGAATTACCATTGTTCTTTCTTTGTTTAGGAGTTATCGGTTAGCTATTGTGTATTGTTTGGTCTTTTGTATTGGCTCTTGTGAACCGGTACACGAGGACAGAACCCCGAAGGGTCTCCACTCATCGAAGCGTGTACTGTAGCCAATGTAGTGAATTTTCAGTCTCTTGTTGGGTTTGTCAACCTCCGTGACTTCAATATCATACAATTTTGTATCTTTTCTCTGTGAAATGACCTTTTTAACAGGGGTGTATGCTGAGTATTCGTTGCAGAATCGCTTTGGTTCTCTTATCTCTCTCTTTGGCTTGTCCGCCATTTTGAAAATTTGCTCAGGAGGGCATCTGGGTTAGCGGCCGCGCCAGGCTGGAACCGACAAAAACAAATGTCCATCGCAGTGGGGAAACAGTTTGATATGCAATAAAAATTAC